GTTTGATGGGGATTGGCTATCTGTTGTGATTTTTAGACAGCCTACAATACCGTTATCAGATCTCAGTGTCTTTAATTTCTTCCATGTCCTGTTCTCAACCATCGTCTTTCACTTCTTGAATGTATCAAATACTTCATTCTTATATTTTAGAAAATAAATCCAAGCATATCTAGAATGATCGTCTATGAACGAGATAAAATATCTAGAGCCACCCTTGGAAGTTGTCCGAGCCAGACCCCAAACATCTGTGTGCACATAATATAGTAGCCCTTTGCTCTTGTGATTGATTCTCAGAAATTGAACCCTGTGCACCTTCCAATACACACAATCCTCACAAAAATCCATGCAAGGTTTCTTCAGATTCTTCAGCAAACCCTCTTTACCAAGCAGATCTAGACCCTTCTATGATATGTGCCCAAGCCGTCTATGCCATAATCGTATGTGCTCACATGGGTCTTCACTACTTCCATCAGTTTCAACTGTAGCATTCCCTATCATCGTCGTACCCGAGAGAGTATATAGATTACCATGACGAACACCCTTCATCACTATTAGGAAACCTCGAACAACCTTCTTTACCCCATTCTCTGTAACAATCTTACAGCCATCGGAGTCCAAAACACCAACTAAGATAAGATTCTTCCGCAAGTCAGGAACGTGCCTTACATCTGTTAGGGTTCTGACAACTCCATCATGCATCTTGATTTTGATATCACCTAGCCCTACCGTTTTACAAGCATGGTTGCTCCCCATCAGTACGGTTCCACCGTCAACGCTTCTGTAGGAAGAAACCACTTTCTATTTGGACACATATGGTAAGAGCAACCCGAATCAAGAATCTACTTCCCGGAGATATCCTCACCACCCGTGACGACATAGCATTCCTTCTCGCTTCCTTCCTCTAAAACGTAGCTCACCTCTTCCTTGCCTTCTCTCTTCTCAATCTTATTATTGTTCTTCTTCCCACCTACTCTCTTGTTAGGACAGTCAACTTTGAACTGCCCTAGCTCACCTCATTTGAAACATGTCCTTCCCGCAAGAGGTCTCGATTTCGATCTAGACTTTCATCCCTTACATTTTCCTCACTCATTGCCCCTTCTTTTAGCAAATAGTCACTGAGCTTGCTCCTTGTTACTACTAGTGGCTATGTCACTAGTTGCAATTTTTCAAAGATCATCCGTCAGAAGCATCGTTCTAGTCTCATCCATCGTCAAATTATCTCCTATAAGCATCAATGTTTGTACCAGGTTCTCATAAAACTTCGATAAAGAAAGAAGTAGCAGAAGTGCTTGATCCTCATCTTCTACTGTCACATCAATGTCCTTCAAATCCGATATGATCCTATCAAACTTGTTGATGTACTCCCGGATTGACGAGCCTTCCTTTATTTTACAAGTATACAATTTGGATTTCAAGTAGATCCGATTTGTTAGACTCTTCATCATAAAGATGCTCTCTAACTTTGACCACACGCCCACGGCAGTTTCCTCTCCATTTACCAAGAAAACAACATCTCTCTCAAGGTATAGGATAGTCAATGCTCGTGCTTCGAGATCTAACTCTTCCCAGTCCTATCGAACATATCTTTGCGCTTCTTCTCTTTTCCTACCAAAGTCTTGTGTAATTTCAGCGAAATCAGCAAATTTTTTATCTGCATCATCCAATAGGAAAAATCATTCTTCCTATTAAAATTTTCAATCTCGTACTTTCCAACTTTAACTGTTTTACTTGTAGACGTTATTCTCCGCTTGTATTAATAAAACCACTTCTCTCAGGAATTTCAACAAATACCTTGTCTTTACCACACAATAATTAAGCACCACTTCATATCAGAAATTTTACCACCTCTAATATGAATAAATGGCTCTGATACCAATTGTTGGGCGCAGAGTCACGCTCTCACATTACGGAAGAGATATCACCTGAGAGAAAGCCCTGACTTTTTATTTTCACAAAAGCTCAAGTTAACCTCTATATTCCCGTTTCACAAAGAAAATAAGAACAGAAGTAAAATATTTCAACAAAGTGAAATATACACTCTTCCTCTCAGCAATTCTAGGACTAAATGTTGAGGGAACCTACAAGTAATAGCCAACAAACAGTAAAGACACATGATTTACGTGGTTCGGCAAACTTGCCTACGTCCACGGGAGGGGTAAGGGGGATTTTGTTGTGTGCAACGAAAATTTCGGCAGAGTTTCTAGTGTACAATAAGAGAGAAAGATCAATAAGAATTCATGTCTTACCAAGGAAACAAGAATCTGAAGCAAATATCTTAACAAAGTGAATATCGGCTCTTCCTCTCATCAGTTCTAGGACTGACTTGTCGAGGGGTCCTAAAAACTATTACAATGGTTACAAACATAAACAAACCAATTTTATATGGTTCGGCAATCTGCCTACGTCCACGGGGCAAGGAGGGGGGGGGGGGGGAGGGGGGAGATCTACTATTAGAGAGAGAATACAATAAGTTTACAATCTCACAAACTAAACCCGAGGGGGGGGGGGGAGATCTACTATTAGAGAGAGAATACAATAAGTTTACAATCTCACAAACTAAACCCTCAAACTAACTCTCTAATCTCTCACAAAATAACTCCCTCAAAAGGATGCACAAAACCCTCAAGAAAGGGTGCTGCTCAAACTCAACAACAAAAGGACGACGACTGCTCTTTTTCCCTCAAGCACCTCTGCGTTTTCTCCTGCACAAAGCCTTGATCTTGCACCCACTGTCTTTTTCTCTGCTCTTGCTCCTTGCACGCCGCCCAAGCCTATGTGTTTTCCCCTTTGCCTGCGAGCAGCCGAAAACTACTTCTCCCCTACGTGCTTGCATGACGCCGCAATTTACCTCTGCATGCGCCCACCTTTCACCCCTTGCACACCCTAGGTTTTGGCATCTTTGAGTTATTTATAAACCATAAAGTCTTCGGGTGGGCCATCATCTTCGGGTGGGCCATTTGGCAGCAGAAAGAAAAAAAAACATGTCTGCTCCTATTCATTCACGTGGTGGTCCCCCACGTTTCTTTTCTTTACTCCGCTGGCCCCCACGTTCACAGATTTCACTATGAGGAGAATAACAACTTCCACTTGTACAACTCACAAGCTCTCTCTTTCTGATTTTTCTCTCTTCAAAAATCTCTCAAAATTCCCACACCATTTTTCTTTTCTTCCCTGCAACTTCTTTCTTCCTCACCTCTCCTATTTATAGGCAAAGAAGAGGGGACAAGAGAGTATGGCTGAGCATGGTGAAAGTATGGGTGAGCATGGGGAGAGCATGGGGGGTTCCATCATCTCGTGTCCCCACATCTCACGTTCCCACATTCACAATTAATAACATGGTCATATATATGTTCATCTGGCGGATCTAGCCGGACTAAAGTTTAGCACGGAGCTACGGTTCTTTTTGAGGGATCTCGTGGTTGTAGGGTCTGAAACAAATATTAAGTTCCAAAAGGAGGAGATCGGTGTGATGCCTTCCTACTTTTAACACATATTAAGGTTATTACGCTAGCTCCCGAGCCTATGGATTTGATCAGGCATACGCGATACAATCAGCCAGCGATATCTTTTGGATGGCGACTGATCAATGACGTCGTTTTTCGTTGTTAGCTATAAATTCCTCAAGTTACGCTTGGTATTCTCTTAAAAGTGTAAAAAAAAAAAAAAAAAAAAAAAAAAAAAAACCAAGATAAAAATTTTCCTGCTTGGTTGTATCTTTTATCTTGACGTGGAACCGCTGGCATATCACATGGGTATTCAAGGTTAAACAGGGCGGGTTTGATGGTGGATTCCCTCCTTTTCGTTGGAGATTAATCATCAGTCGTTGACCGACTCGTGCGTTACCCGGTGAACATAATTAGTCTCAGAAACCGACATCATGCAAGCTTCAGCTCGTTCGTCACCATCCAGCCTGTTTTGTATTAAAAGAGTTTCTTTTATTTTTTCTTCTTTTTTTTTTGTGAGTACAGGACCGCCAAACGCTGATCCGTCTCTCCCTCTAAGTGCAGACAACGTAGCTAAAAAGGAACCATTTGATAGTACTCTCCTATATATATTCTCTAGTTACAGCAGCCCACTAATAACTCCAATCCCCCCCCCCCCCCCCCCCCAAAAAAAAAAAAAAAAAAAAACCTCCCCCTCCCCCCCCGCCGCTCGGGCAGCCTCGCTCACAAAGAGCTATGCAACTTCTGAAAGTGATGACCGAGAAGTCCCACCAAGGGATCGCACACTTACACAGAGCCATGACCACTTCGGAGGTGATGACCGAGAAACCCCACCAACGGATCTATGCTACAGGACTGGACGGCTTTGCTTCCTTCCCGAAAAGGTGATTTCTTTGGCTCTTTAATTATGTATGCCCTCTTCCTTGTTAGTATTTTTCATGTAACTCAGTCTCTATGCTTGATATTGGTTTACTACACTGCATATATAAGACCATTCTCATCATGCTGCTTGTGATGAAATGATTGTGCGTATGAAGCTGGATGCATGGTGTGGCCGCCAGATATTGCCGTATAAGCACATTTTTGGTTAATTAGGGCATATATTGGGTAACAGTCGAAATAGATTTCGTAAGTTTTTGTACTAGTTACCTATCATAGTATAGCTTTGCGCCTCAATGGAGGAGGTAATTTTTAAGATAACCAACATAAGCGAGTGAAAGAATAGGTCATCTAGTGGGCCCTAATAAAGAATCTGTTTGGCAAAATGTCCTAGTCCCATTTATGAAGAAGTTTGTTTGGTAAAAACTGGGCCAGAGTTGGCCCGGTTTTTTCAAGACTCGAAAGGACCCCTAAAACCAGCACTTTTTTTCTCTTTAAAAAAATAAAAAAAAATAAAAAAATAAAAAAAAACTGGACCAAGACAGTTTTCGCTCACCTATTGCTCGCCATAGCTTTGTGCCCATTTCTAATATATACATGTCGCTAGGTCAATGATCTCATATCTGTGAATCTGTGGTTGTGTTCCCAGGCTTGAAGGAAAGGTGG